ACTGTTTTACCAAAATTGTGAATGTTGTTATCAATATGTTACCTTCGACTGTAAAACCTGAGCTTAATAAAAGCCTTCAACGCAATTACCCTGCTTCTCTTCTCAAATATGTTTTAAAAACTTCACTTTGTGATGAAAATTTCCTAGTTTTTTGAGAGGGAGCACTACTAATAAGTATGGACCCTGTATCGGTACAAACTGAGCCACCTGCCCCTACATAGCAATCGACCAAGCGAAAAGAAGAGTTAAGAAAGGCATTTAACCAAATGAAGCTAAGCAAAGCAGCATTCTTTGATGTCTTCAGTCCGAAGCAAAATAACAAAAGCAACGGTGAGAAGTGAAACCAGAAAATAAAAAAAAGGATACTTTTAGCAGAGATTCAAAATCTATTCACAGAAGGGCAAAAATGAGCTGGAGAACAAATAATGTAAATGTATGGTACTACTTGCATCAGTAAACGATGATTTAAAATAAAAGGTCAAGAGTAAAAGTGGTTCTTTGCCTAATAATTTTGCAAAAAGAAATGCTGTAGCTTAATACCGATTAAGATCCTCCACGCATTTGTTGCAAATAGTAATGATAAGCGATATTCACTAACCGTTTCTGTAAATAAGAGGAAAGGTAATTGTTTATCGGCAGAGAGAAGAGCCGTTCCCTTCTTTATCCTCGAAGAGTAAACATAATTCTTGCTCAATTCTTTGAGTCTTTTATAAAAATAAGTGGTTAAACACTTGTTAAAAGCGGAGCATCAGCTACCAAAATACCGAACAGACGCGTGAATACTTATAAACTATATGTCAGCCCCTATGCCTGGATAAATAAAATTTGCTTTAAACACTCTCTGTCCGTTCAGTTTCAGTTTCCGACGCTTGAACGCTGATGCGGCAAATTGCCTAGGAAGCTTTATTCCCAATCTTACTTGAGACGGCCATTTAGAGTCATTCCCACCGTTTCATGAAGAGATCCGGGAACAAGCTTGAAAATCTGTATTGCGAAACGTGCATCGTGCGTGCATTCGTTAACTGCAAATATGCCAATTTTCGAAATTCAAAAAAACTGGTCTAACAACGAAACTTTCTCATATCGCTGTGTACTTTACCGCGTGCGAGCATAGTTTCAAATCAACAGAGCTATTGATAGGTCACTGTCACAACACCGGACGTACTGCCGTCAGTATCCTGGAACTAGCCGCGTTGCATCGTTAGATATTATTTTTTTTTACTGCGTTGTCACTGTTGTAATTTCTGGTTCTTACTTTGTTTTCATTTTTTGTTGTCGTAGTATTTCTTGAACATTTTGACTCTTCGGGAGTACAATGTTCATAGATGCAAGTGGTGTTCGTTATAAGTGGATTTTATTGATGTATAGAAACCAAGCAGTTCGTCAGTTTCTTATTTTATCAGTCTGAGATATTTATTTTATTCGAGAAGTCTCTGATAAGTAGCAAATTATTTTCTTGTTTGCTATTTGTGAAAAGCCTGATTTTGGATTTTGACTTATTGTTTTAACGGTCTTTTTTTTTCGAATTTGATATTTTTCTATGCGGAGGTGCACTTATAAGCTCGTCGGTGATGCTTGTTAGTATGTAGTTGTTCACTTCGCATCAACTCCAAGTTTGTAGTTCTGGAACATGTAACTGGTTGTATATCAGTTTCACTCAATCCTTTATTTTATTAACTTCAGGTTTTAGATTTTTTCCGATGGCATCTTCCCCTTCAAAAAGCTTAGCCGTTGATTCGTCGAGCAAAGAAGCTCTTATAGAATTAGACCGGTGGATTGAGCAGTTGTACGAATGTAAACAGTTGACAGAACCACAGGTGAAA